CAAGGGAGATGCTTTGCTCTCTCGTTAGTCTCACTTGAGTTGTTCAGAGCCCAGGGAACAACGGGGTTATTTACTGGAGATCCCCTTGCAGCTCCAGGACCCCATCACCTGACTTTTGTGGACACAGCGGCTGGAGTGACTACAGCTCCTGTGTGCGTGATGAATCCTGTGCGCCAGGTACTGTTCTCCTTGCTTTGTAGGTGTAACACCCTTATGAGCTTAGAACTGACACCAAGCCATTTTACAGAAGGGGAAAGTGAGACACAGGAGGCCACGTGACCACAAGCAATGCTGCTGCTTTCACCTTCAAGTCCCTGCTCTCTCTCCTCCTGTTTATGGAAAGCAGAAGCCCCTCTGCTAAAACCCAAGTGGGTCTTCCATGTCCTGACCCATCTGTGGTTGGCAGCTCACCTTCCTTGCCAGCTTTCTGAATCGAGGACGTTGACAACCAAGTGGTAGAATGGAGATCATGAGAGAGGGTGGGGGAAGAAAAGAGAAGGGGTCCTGAGATACTGAGGAGGAAAGGTCCTCTTCTGAGGCTGGGGGAGGGCGTGGGGGTGAGACGCCAAAGGCAGGAGCCTCCCCCCAGCTCATGGAGCAGAGGTGAGGCCAGGTTCCAACATGGGGAGGGCAGAGCACATGAAACGTGTGAGTGATTTCATATCTGGGGTCCCCTGTCCTTAGGTCGCTTCGGGCCATCAGTTCTCTAAGCACAGGGGTGTCAGTGTACTACCTGGAAGGTGTTTGCAATACACCAGGCTGGGGAGAAGGTGCTCCACTTGAACCCCACCAGCTGTACTTCCATCTGGGACAGCCAAGAACACCCTGAAACCATGGGTGGAACCACAGTGCATGACTGCCTGCGGGTTCATGCATTTTTCTGCAGAAACAATGTGCAGCTGTCACCAGCCTCCAGAACGCATCCTCCCCGAGGTTAAAGCCACTGTTCTCTGCTAACGGCCATCCCTCAAGTGGGCAATGGCTCTGGACTGGGACACCGTCTTCTCGGTGATCCCGGAGCTGCAGGCTGGACCTGTGTAGGAGGAGCAGCACTGGGCCAAGTCCCCCACTCAAACTCTGTGATTCCAGGCTGGTTTCCTATCTCTGCATCCTCATCTGTAAAAATGGGAACCTCCTTTTATGTGTGAGGAGTAAACAGTTATCAGCCTTTCTGGTGGCTCAGTGGTAAACAGCCTGCCAAGCAGGAGATGCAAGTTTGACCCCTGGGTTAGGAAGATCTCCTTGGGAAGGAAACGGCAACCCACTCCAGTATTCTCTCCTGAGAGTCCCATGGACGGAGGAGCCTGGCGGGCTACAGTCCACGGGTCTGCAGAGTCAGCCACGCCTCCGGGACTGAGCCCACACGCACGGGCCTGAATCACACGTCCGGCTGCTCTCCTGCCTCCTGGAAGCCTCTCTCTTCTCGTCAGACTCCTCCTCCATCCGGGGTGCCGCCTCCGTGTCCCTGAGGGTGGGACAAGGAAGAGATGAAATCTCATTCGTTTTACCACCTCTGAGCAGCTGCACTTAATATCTGGGGGGGGGTGGGGAGGCGAAATCATCACCTCGTTCAGGACTGTACTTTCAAGGATTCTCAGTGCCTCTCCTCAGACGACCCCTCCTGGTCATGAATGTTCGAGAGCCTGGTGACGGTCCAGTTGCTTAACGCAACCACTGACAGCGAACATCTGGGCCCCAGAGACACCACACCCGGAGGATATTAGCAGGAGAGGGAGGTGCTGGACACATGTTTCCTCCTTGGCCACATCCCAGCCTAAGCCAGCCATCCCCAGACGGCCTCCATCTGTGCTGGCCCACAGAGGTGAGAGTGGGTGAGCACTTGGGGCCTAGGCCCATTAATCTCACTGCAGCCCTGATGCCCGAGCACATTTATGACCCAGTCAGTTCTGGCCTCATCTCCTTGCAGTCTCTGCTTTTGTTTAACTTTCAGCTTCCATATTTTCTGGTGACAAACTAGGTCATATCCATGGCAAAGGGGATTCTACCATCATATCATGCCATCGTTATTAAATAAATACATACTGACCTTAGGTTGCTGATTCATTCTTAATTTGAAGAGAAGGGTCAAGACCAGAAGTGCAGACGGTCAAGCCCCCCACCCCCAGATTCCCCAGTCACATCCCTCATGCCTCAAGGGCACCGTGTGACTGCTTCCGGTCGATGGGTGGTGAAGCGAGGCGGCATGAGGCACTTCCGGGTGGAAGTAGTTAAGAGCTGGCATGAGACGTTCCCACTCTCTTTCACAGAATGTAGGGGCCACATGGTCAAGTGGACAGCAGTATGGGAAGCTCCCTGGACGGCAGAGTCACTGAATGGATGACTTTTAAAACAGACTGATAGAAAATTTGAGGTACAGAAAGGTCAGCAGATCAGGAGACGACTGCCCTCAGAAAGATCGTTTGTTACAGTTCCCAAGAGGAGGGGGCACGTGATGCCAGGCAGGGCCACACGGGGAGACCCCAGGGCGGCTGGAGGCAGAGGGAGGGAGGGTCAGTGTGGACCAGAGACCTCACTGAGGATTCTGCGGAAGGAGTGGACAAGGTGGGGTGGGCAGCTGAGGACTGGCTGGTCTGGATCGTTCCCGCAGGCTCCAGGGCACAGTGCCCGTCCCCGGTTGTGTGGAACCTGCCCAGGGTGGAGTGGGCAGGTGGACGGTGGCCCAGAGGGTGGGAGCCGGTGGAGGAGGGGGAGGGTGGTGGATGGGCTCTGGGTTAGTTGGTTTGCATTGGAAAGGTGTGCTCACAGGTGAGTTGTTTACTGTCTCTAGGAACTAGCTAATCTTGGGAGGGGCAGTCCCCCCCAGATGTGACAGTGTCAGACCAGTAAACAAGGGACATGGTTAATACAAAGACAACTCATGCTGGGCTTTGTGGGAGGGAATTAACCTGGGTTATGTTGAGACCTGGAGATCTGGGGGTGATGTACCATATTAGGTTAGTGTGCTGTCGTAGGAACGCAAGGGGAAGCTCAGGAACTTGGGTGTGGAGCTGAGTCTCACACCGCTGCGACATATAAAATGTTGGTTCACCCACTCACTGCACATTCACTGGTCACTGCACATCAGCTGCGTGTCAGGCCCAGTGCTGGGTCTGGACTCACAGAGGTCAAACTCTAGCCCTGCTCTCAATGGAACTCTCAGTCTTAAGAGTAAGTAAGATGCATCGAAGGGTAGGGTGAAGATGGCCAGGATAGAGGCTGGGCAGACCCAGACAGAGGATGGGTCCACAGTGATGACTCAGGAAGTGAATCCTCCTCAGGTGGAGGAATCAGGGAAGCAATGTTTGAGTTGGGTCTTGATGGAGTTACATAAGAGTTTCCCTGGGGAGACAGTGGGCATGGATGCTCTAGGCAGTCTAGGAAAAGCAGATAAAGGCATATCCAGGCTTTGCAAAGGGTTCAGTGGGGCAAAAATAACTACTTTAAAAATGGGCAAAGAAACTGAATATTTTTCCAAAGACCTACAAATGGCCAAGAGGTATATGAAAAGATGCTCAAGAGGTATATGAAAAGATGCTCAACACCACTAATCGTTAGGGAAATGCAAATCAAAACCACAGCGAGATATCACCTCACACCTGTTAGGATGACTATTATCATGAAGACAAGAAATGACAGGTGTTGGCAAGGATGTGGAGAAAAGGGAACCCTTGTACACTGTTGATAAGAATGCAAATTGGTGCAGTCATTATGGAAAACAGTATGGAGGTTCCTCAAAAAATTCAAAATAGAATCATCATATGATCCAGTTCTGGGTATATTAATATTAATACACACCAAAAAGAAATGAAATTAGTACCTTGAAGAAATACCTGCACTCGTTTGTTGAAGCATTATTCACACCATAGCCAAAACACAGAAACACCTTACGTGTCCAGCGACAGATAAATGGATAAAGAAATTGCGGACTATTTAGCCTTTAATAAGAAACTGTGCCATTTGTGACAACACGGAGGAGCCCAGAACACACTGTGCTGAGTGAAATAAGCCAGACAGACAAAGACAATAAAAGCAGGGTCTCACTTATATGTACGTGTGTCTCAGTGGTAAAGAATTTGTCAGCAATGCAGGAGACAAAGGAGATGTGCGTGTGATCCCTGGGTTGGGAAGATCCCCCGATGAAGGAAATGGCAACCCACTCCAGTATTCTTGCTGGGAGAATTCCATGGACAGAGGAACCTAGTGGGCTACAGTTCACGGGGATGCAGAGTCAGACACGACTAAGCGCACATACACACACTTTGAAAAAGTCATAGAACCAGAGGCTAGAGCAGTGGTTACATGAGAAATGGGAGAAGTTGATCAAAGGGTACGGATGTCCAGTTACAAGATGAATAAATTCTAAGTCTCTAATGTGCAGCATGGTAAGTATAGTTAATAATATTTGAAAGTTGCTAAGAGAATAGGTTTTATGTTCTCACCCCCTGCCTCAACACAGACAAAATGGTAACTATGTAAGGTGATGGATATAGTAACTTGATTGCGGTAATCACATTGTATACACGTATTAAATAATTGCATTATACACTTTTTAAAAGTCACACTGTACAATCTAAATATATATATATTTCTCTGTGTGTCATTAATCCTCAAAAAGCTGGGGGGAAAAAAAGAGTTCAGAGCGGCTGGAACAGGAAAGGACCAGGAATACGGTCAAAGACAAGGCTGAAAACCCAGGTGGGCTGACACCTGAGGTGGCTCTGAGAGGAGGGGCAGGGCTCTGGACTTCCCGCTGCAGGTCCTGAAAGCCTGGGCCGTGGACAGACCAGGGGGTAACATGATGAGATTCGCAGTCACAGCTAATGATGAGATTAGGGTCTCAAGGCCCTCCTTCAGGGACCCCACCGTCAGATTTTTGTGACACTATTGGTAAAAACGTGCCTGCCAATCCAGGAGACATAAGAGACATGGGTTAGATTACTAAATTGGGAAGATCCCCTGGAGGAGGAAATGGCAACCCACTGCAGTACTCTTGCCTGGAGAGAGGAGGAGCCTGGTGGGCTACAGTCCTCGGGGTCCCAAAGAGTCGGACACAACTGAAGGGACTTAGCATGTACGTACGTGCATTCTCCTGTTATGGTAGGAGACCAAAAAAGCCACTTAACCTCCTCTCCTCTAAGACAGGGAAAGTAAATACTCTCCTCCCTTCTTGTATTTATGGCAGATATAACTAATCAATAGACATTCTTTGGATTGGCAGCCATATAAAGCCTCAGAGGCTTTCTCAACACAATGTTTCAGGCAAGTACTACCCACAGGTTCAGGTTGGCACACATGTTAAATTATGTGTCCTTTTTATAAAAGTATTAGTATTTTCATTTGGAAAAATAAGAACTGTCCTAGGGACGCAGAGTTTAATCAGAGGAATAAATCTCTAATGGTAGAATTTTAGTAAGCAGAAATTTGGAGAAGGGAAGGGAAGTCTACATGATTTCCTCAGATCAGACCTGCCTCACCCAGTCGGAACGTTGTCCTGAGTGGAGACTAAGGACACTTTTTTTGTTCTCTCACTTTCCTGCCTCCATTGTCAGCAAAATCGTTCCTGTTTGTTTTCCCGGCCATGGTAAACACCGCAGAGTAGACGAGAGACGTTTCCATGGCAAGCTCCTCCCACAGCATCTTCTTTCGTGTCCTCACAAAGCCCATGATCTGCAGGCAAAGAATAGACTCTCAATAAACATTTATTGATTGAATCTAAATTGCAATTTTGTCTATAGCCCTCTGGGAAGCGGAGCGGAAAGGAAATTCACCCTCATACGGAGAGGCATGGACTACCCAGAAACCAACCGAGGACCGCCCAGACTCCGAGATGGTGTCTGTCAGAAGCCACACGCATCAGGACTCACGAGGCCCCTCGGTCAACTCCGGGATGCACACACTCCTTCCTTGGCTCCCTCTGTGTGAGCACCGAGAATAGTAACGGGTTCTTTTTCCTGCTCCGCGTCTTCTGACCTGGCCCAACACAGAGAACACTCTCAATGAAGACTTGTGAATGAATGAGGCAGTTACTAGCACCTGGAGAGGAACGGGGGGTGGCGTTCCCACCCTCCTCCCCAGGCCGCCAGGAGAGTGTGGGGCACCTGGAAGGGTAGCTGGGGCGGGAGGTCGGGGTGGGGGGGGTTACATGATGAGTTCAGTTCTGAGCTCCGTGAACTTGGCTCGTGGGCTTTACTTGGGGAACTTGGGGTTTGTGGGGGCAGACGTTGGTATGCTGGGAGCGACAGGGGACCGCCGGGGGAGGGGACCCCAGGGGAAGAGCATCGGGAGAGCGGGGAGAAGCCCAGCTCTGGTTCTGGGGCAGGGGAGGAAGTGAAGCAGCCGCGGGGTGTCAGGGAAGGGACGTCGGAGAGGAGAAAGCCCCGGAGAGGAAAGTAGGGCCTCCAAGAGCGCCTTCCTCACAGGGCAGCAAGGAGAGACGCCCACCGGGCGTGGTGCCACGTGTGGACGGCGCGGCCTCGTCGCCTGGAGCCCCGTCCAGCCTGGAAGCTGTGTATGGCACAGTTAAAACTGCTCAATTCCTAGAGAGACGGAGAACCGAAGACTTTCTCCCATCAGCCAACCTCTTTCTCGGGTTGCCCCCTGCCCCGCCCTGACCCCCTTCCCCTGGCCCTGGGTCTGAGCTTCGTGATTTTACCAGAGTTTCTGGCGCCAACACACCGCCCCCGCAGCTGGGCCCGCGCTCTGTTCACGTTTCTCTCCTCCCGAGAGATCAGGTCAGAGGCCCCGGATGTTCTCGAGGGTCCCCGGATGTTCTCGAGGGTCCCCCGATGTTCTGTAGGACCCTGGATCTTCTCTGCGCCCTGAGGCGGGAAGTGGATCTGGGCCGTGTCAACTCGCAGGTGGGGCTGCGGGCAGAGAAGGAGCCCGGGCCTTCTCCACGTGGAGAATAGGGCTGAGGGCGCGGGAAGCAAGTGCGTGGTGGACCAGGAGGACCTGAATGTCTCCGTCCTTCGTGCTGGGAGCGGCAAGCGGCCTGCTGTGTGGGGAGCCTGCTTCTCATGCCATCAGCATGGACGGGGAGCCCACTCGGGGGGCGGTTCTGTCCGCCGAGCCACTGGACCCTGTCACCGGGAAGGTGAGAGACGTCTCCTCACAGCCTCAGCTGCCTGGGCCAGACGGGTCACGGGTGAGGAGCTGCAGGGTGGCCGGGGACAGGCTTGCAGACACACTTCCCAGTGGAGTCTGGAGACCAAACCAGAGGGAAACAGCAGGGATCCCGCGTGAGGGGCCAGGGTGTTTGTGCCCCGGCCTGGTGAGAGGCTGCCTCTTGTGGCGCGGAGAGACTGGTTTCCAGGCAGTTCTGGGAATTCGCGGCCGTTTTCCAGCAACTCCCCAACAACCGTGAGGCTTCGGCCTTTGGAAATCAGGCTGCTGTGCGTGGGGCCGAGGCAGGAGTCCAGGGGCGGCGGAAGGTCACAGAGAGCGACCCCAATGCATCGCAAGGGGTCCAGGCCGCTTAGGGGTGGAGAGTGGGAGGTTCTGGTAGAAGGTTGGACAGGCCAGCCAAGGCCAGACCCTGGTGATGGTTGCAGGGCTTTGTCCTGCCTGCCTGGGGAGCTGTGGAGGGTGCCAAGGTAGCCTGTTTGAAAGCTCATTCCCCGCTACAGTGGGGAACGGACTGGTGGGAGAGCGGAGGGTTCGCAGTCAGTGGTAAAGAACCCGCCTGCAATGCAGGAGCCGTGAGAGATGTAGGTTCGATCCCTGCATTGGGAAGATCCTCTGGAGGAGGGCATGGCAACCCATTCCAGTATTCTTGCCTGGAGAATTCCATGGACAGAGGAGCCTGGCGGACTATAGTCCATGCAGTCGCAGAGTTGGACACGACTGAACACCTTGGCATGCAGCATTGGGGGGGGGGGGGCACTCTGTAGCTAGTTCCCACCCACCCCACCCGCTAGACTGTAGTCTCCAGTTCTGAGCCTGCTGTAACCTCTGACCGTGCTCCTTGTGGGTCTCACAGCAGCTCTGACATCCACCTGCAGACCCTGGGGGCTTTTCAGTTGTCTATAAAATTGTATCCATACTTATTTGCACAGTGACTTCCAGGCTCTTCCCATCTACAGAAGGGTCCATTGCCCCGCCCCCAAATCCTTGGGACTTGCCTTCGCCAGGAGAATTTGTCAGAAGTAAAAGGTGCGAATTCTAAATGTGGGCCCCTTGACGTTTTGTGCGCTCTCCTCTCTCTCTCTCCACCCGGCACTGTCCTGATGAAGACATCACTACTGTATCTGTTAGCACTCGCTGCGTAACAAACTGTGCTCAGTCATGTCCGACTCTTTGGGATCCCATGGACTGTAGCCCACCAAGCTCCTCTGTCCTTGGGATTTCCCAGACAAGAATGCCTGAGTGGGCTGCCATTTCCAGCTCCAGAGACTTCTCCAGAGAATCTTCCCGATCCAGGGATTGAACCCAGGTCTTCTGCATTGTAGGCAGATTCTTAACCATCTGAGCTACCAGGGGAGCCCTCAGTGCTAACCCTGGGCCAAACTGTTTTGCATGTTGTTGTTTAGTTGCTCAGTTGTGCCCAACTCTTTTGTGACCCCATGGACCTTAGCCCGCCAGGCTCCTCTGTCCATAGGATTCTCCAGGCAAGAATACTGGAATGGGTTGCCATTTCCTCCTCCAGGGGATCTTCCCAACCCAGGGATCGAACTTGTGTTTCCTGTGTTGGCAGGTGGGTTCTTCACCACTGAGTCACTTGGAAAATGTAACAAATCACCCCCAAACTAAGCAGCACAAAAACATATCCATGTGTGAACTTATAGTTTCTGTGGATCGGGAGCCAAGGCTCAGCTTAGCTGGGTCCTCTGGCTTACGGCTGCACACAGGGTCAGGTGGAACCAGAGTCCTAGCGGGATTGACCAGGGACAGAATTCGCTGCCAGGCTCAGTTCCCTGTTACTGTAGAATTCAGTTCCTCTCGGATTGTTGGCTGGAGACAGGCCCCAGGCTCTTGTTGCATAATTTCACCATGGGGCAGTTTCATAGCCTGGCAGCTGGCTTTGTCAAAAAGAGAAAGAGACAGAGAGCATGTTTTCAGGATGTCAGTCAGACTTCTGTATCCTCATCTCAGAAGTGACATCCATCACGTTTGTTCTCATCTAGTCTCTAGAAGTGGGTCAGGCCCACACTCACACGTGTTCAGTCCTGCCTCTTCTGTGACGCTTCCTCAGACCCTGCGGCATCGTGGACCTCCCCTTGTGTGACCCCACTGCCTTTGGTGGCTGGGCCAGCAGTGGGCATTTCTCACTTCCCTCCAGGAACATCTGATCGTGTGTGTTTGGCCCCACCCGATCTTGGTGGCTCCCTCCGTTGCCTGCAGGATCTTCCTTACCCACCAATCCAGTCCCTCCTTCCCGTGAAAGATGCTGGAGCACAAGCTCTGGGCTTTGTTTCCAGCTCCGTGTCCCCCTGGAGAAGGCGATGGCACCCCACTCCAGTGTTCTTGCCTGGAGAATCCCATGGACGGAGGGGCCTGGTGGGCTGCCGTCTGTGGGCTGCACAGAGTCGGACGTGACTGAAGTGCCTTAGCAGCAGCAACAGCTGTTTCCCCTGGCTCACCCAGAATCATGCCTTCCATTTAGCATGAACATCGCGATTGACGAATGGCATAACTTTGAGTCCCCTCTGTGTATTACACAGGTGTGACCTTCTGTAAAAACTTTGAGACCACAGTAAATATGCATATAGTGGCAGAAAACAAGCAGAATACTGTTACACCCTTCCGTTACTTTCCCCCAATGAAACCAACCTGTGTGACTCTGTTACAACATCCCAACAGGAAATTGTTGCCAGTTTCACATGCGTGTGTTTATGTGTGTATTCGGTTCCATGCAGTTTTATAACTGTGTGTATTGTGTGACCACTGTCAGCCACAGTCTACACAGTTCCATCAAAAGGACCTCTCATGGGAATACTCTGGCAATCCAGTGGTTAGGACCCCACGCTCTCACTTGAGAGGGCCTGGGTTCAATCCCTGATCAGGGAACTAGGATCCCACAAGCCAAACATCGCAGCAGTTTAAAAAAAAAATCCCTAGTGCTGCCTTTTTATAGCCAGAGCCACCTCTTCTGCCCGCTTCCCCGGGAAGCCCCTGGCAACCACTAATCTGTTCTCACCTCTAATTTTATCATTTCAAGAGAGTTATGAAAATGGAATCATATGCTATGTTATCTCTTGAGGTTTCGCTTTTAGCACTTAGCACAATTCTCTTGAGATCTGTCCAAGTTATCATATGTATCAATAGTTTGTTCTTTTTTTCCTTTTATTACGGAGTTGTATTCCATGGTATAGACACATTGCCATTTGTTTAATCACCCACCCTTTGAAGGGCATTTGGGTTGTCTCCAATTTGGGGCTATTATGAATAAGCCGCTGTGACCATTCCTGTATAGATTTTAGTGTGAACATAAGTTTTAATTTCCCTGGGATAAGTGCCCAGGAGGACAATAGCTGGGTCGGATGATAAGTACGTGTTTAGTTTTATAAGAGTCTGCCGCACTCCTTTCTGGAGTGGTTGCACTGTTTTGCGTTCCCACCCGCTGTGTGATTCGTTTTGTCCACCTCCTCACCAGCACTTGATCTTATCACGGATTTTCATTTGAGCCATTGGATAGGCATGTAGTGACAGGTCATTGTGACTCTATAATTACGTTTCCTTATTGGCTAAGGCTGGTGAGCCTCTTTCCCCATTTCTTCTTTGCCTTGTGTGTGTCCTTAGTGGGGAAATGTTTGTTCATGCTTTTTGCCGGTTTTCTAATTGGAGTGCTTATTTACTGTGAATTTTGTGAGATCTTTTTTATATTCTAGACGTAAGTCCTTTGTCAGATATGTGGTTTGTAAATATTTTCCGCTTGTCCATAGCTTGTCTTTCCATCCTCTTAACAGGGTCTTTCATGGAGCAAAGTTTTTAATTTTGATGAGATCCAATTAATCAAATGTTCCTTCTATTAAATGTGCTTTCAAGAAACTCTTTGTCTAGTCCTATATTGTTAAGGCTTTCTCCTATTTTAATTCTAAGAATTGTATACAGATCACCTTGGATAGCATAGGTTTGAACTGCATGGGTCCACTTACAAGCAGATTTTTTTCAATAGTAAAGACTACAGGATTGCACATCCTCAGTTGGTTCAGTCCTTGGGTGACAAAACTGGGGATATGGAGATAACTCCTGGATGAAGGGCTGTCTATCGGTAAATTATCATGTATTTTCAACTGGGTGGAGGGCTGGTGCCCCAACCCTGCGTTGTTGAAAGTGTATGCTATGTCACTTCAGTGGTGTCCAATTCTTTGCGACCCCATGGACTGTAGTTCACCAGGCTCTTCTGTCCCTGGGATTTCCCAGGCAACAATACTGAAGTGGATTGCTATTTCCTTCTCTGGGGGATCTTCCCAATCCAGGGATAGAACCCGTGTCTCCTGCATTAGCAGGATATTTCTTTACCACTAAGCCACCAGGGAATCCCCTGCATTGTTTAATCATTAACTGTAATTGTATTTTAAGTCCATGGCCCATTTTGAGTTCATTTTGTATAAAGTGTGAGGCTTAGATAGAGGTTCGTTTTGTGGTGGTTGTTATTTACAGGCGTCCAGTTGCTCTTGGAAACAGAAAGGGCAACCCACCCCACTGTTCTTGCCTGGAGAGTCCTATGGACAGAGGAACCTGGCAGGCTACAGCCCACGGGGTCACAAAGGAGTTAGACACGACTTAGCGACTGGACAGCAGCAGC